GATGAGCATCCACACTAGGATAGCTAAGAAAGAAAGGCCTGGTAATTCACGCTCAAAAACAAGCCAATGAAAACTCTACGGATCACAGCAGAGCGCTGTCTGATCTAGTGTCAAAAGATGAGCCTGGGGAGGCTGGAAGGCACTCAAAATACACAGTGGCCACAACAGCAGATTCCGTCACACCACCAACTGTGGAGATGGCGCGGGACCAGGCAGCGTTTTGTTCTGCTGTGTGCACTGGGTCACCATGAGTCACAGAGATTTCCATGGCAACTAGTAACAACAAAAACATGTAAGCCCGCCTGCTGTTCCCTGAAAGGGCCCAGGAGCAGAGGTACCTCAGGAGCACGAGCATGCCACAGTCAGATGGTGCTTCCGGGCACTCTTCGCCACTACGGGGAGGGAGGCTCTTTGGAGAATAGCTGACTTCCAGGGCTAAGACAGGCAAAGTGTGCAAGAAATCTGGAACACTTTGCCAGAGCCTAGAGGTACTAAACAAATGAGGGGACATGACAAAAAGATACAAAAATGGGCTTAAAGGCTCTTACTGGTCATTATGGATTACAATCTATTGAATAAGGAGGAGATCATGAGTCCAGATGGATAGATGGACTAAAAGTTTGATGGGGAAAGAGGTTATCTATAGTTTCTAATAGCACCGGTGGCTTAATAGTAAGGAGTTGGGCTGCCAACCCAAAGGCCCATGGTTCAAATCCACCAGGTACTCTGTGGGAGAAAGATGGGCAATTTCCTGCCATGCAATTTATTGCCTCTGAAAACCTACTGGAGGGTCAGTTATGGGTTGGTTCTAACTCCATGTTACATAACAACAACAGAGTTTTGAAAGATTTCTCTGTAAAATACAAATTACAAAGGAGAAATGGTTAGAATCCTAGAGATCCCACCTTAGTCAAGTAAGCAATCAGTGTGATGGGTGAAATGGAATCCTGTCTCCACTGACCAGCAGCATACTGCTGTGGTATTCTAGCCCAAGACGCATACACTGAGTCTAATGACAAAGATGAGACAAGTCCAAGTTGAGGGACATCCTGTAAAAGAACTGGTCTCTAACCTTCAAAAGCACCAAGGTCAAGAAAAGCCTGAGGATCTATTCACAATGGGCAGCCATAAGGAACAAATGTGCCTTACAAGATGCACAGCAAGAATGTGTCTGAGAAAGGAGAGAGCGTACTTCATCTTGGGTATCCTGGAGAAGGACATTACATTTATGAAAGCAGAAAGTCGGCAAAAAAGGAAGTCTCTCAACAAGATGGACTGACACCGTGGCAGCAATGGGCTAAAACACAGCAGCCATTGTGAGTAAAGCTGCTGACTGGGCACGCGTACATTCTGTTGTGCACAGCATCACTGCAAACCAGTGGCGCCTGACAAAAGAGAGGCATGATGACAAAAGACAAGGAGTCTCCTTTTGCTCTAAGAGACATCCCTGAGACACGTGGCAAAGCAGCAACGGGGTCTGATAATTTGGGCGTGATGTATTAGTGTTCATTTCCTGACGTTCATAGTCACATGACAGTTAACACAGAAGACGCTCCTTGTTTTAGGAAATGCACTTTAGAGTATTTGGGGGAGATGGAGTACCAGGATGACAAACACTGTTTTGTTTTGTTGTTTTTTTTATTTTTGTGTGCGTGTACCGTCAAATCAGATCTGACTGGTACAGGAGGAGATTGTCCCTCCTTCCCCAGCAGAGCATCTGGTGGATTCGAACCGTATGCCTCTGGGATTGTAGTTGCAGCTCCTTTCCACTAGGCCACCAGAGCTCCCCTGTTTTGTTTTTTGAGTGGTCAAAATCT